AAAAAAAAAAAAAAAAAATACAAAGGTTGCAGTGAACCAAGATCAAGCCACTGCACTCCAGCCTGGGCGACAGAGTGAGACTCCGCACCCCCCACCCCCCCAAAAAAGTTGCAAAAGTTACAAAGGGAATGAAAAATATCAAGGAAACACCCAAAAATATCATATATTAACAGATGTGAAAAGTCCACTTTAAACTCATTGCAAAGATTACCAGTCAGATAGAGAGTGTGGGATTCTAGGGAATTTGGTGGTCACAGAGATTTTTTTTTTTTTTTTTTTTTTTTTTTTTTTTTTTTTTTTTTTTTTTTTTTTTTTTTTTTAAGATGGGGTTTTGCCATGTTGCCCAGGCTGGTCTCCAATTCCTGGAATCAAGCTGCCTTGACCTCCCAAAGCGCTTGGACTACAGGCATGAGCCACCACACCAAGCTAGAGGTCTCAAGTCTGTCTTGAAAATGCCAAATTTGACCAGACACCGTGGCTCACGCCTGTAATCCCAGCACTTTGGGAGATCAAGGCAGGCAGATAGCCTGAGGTCAGGAGTTCAAGACCAACCTGACCAACATGGTCAAACCCCATCTCTAGTAAATACAAAAGAATTAGCCAGATGTGGTGGCATGTTCCTGTAATCCCAGCTAGTTGGGAGGCTGAGGCAGAAGAATCGCTTGAACCCGGGAGGCAGGGGTTGTAGTGAGCCGAGATTGCACCATTGCACTCCAGCCTGGGCAACAAGAGTGAAAACTCTGTCTCAAAAAAAAAAAAAAAAAAAAAAAAGGGCCAAATTGTATCTTGCTTCTAAACCTTCACACTGGCTCTTCCCTCTGCCTTAGAACACTCGTCGGAGTATTTGCCGAGCTGACTCTTCTCTGTCAGTTCTCTGGTCAGTTGTCCCCTCCTCAGAGACCTTCCCTGATCCCCCTGTTTCAAAAGCCATCTCCCCCACCATGGAAAACTGAGTGGCTGAAGTGTGAGGGGGATGGAGAAAGACTTCATTGTAGGCCATCTTGCACTCTGCATTTCAAACCAAGTGAATTTAGTACCCATTCAAAACTATGTGAATTAAACAAATTAAAAATTAAAAAAAAAAAAAAAA